GTGAAAACTTGTTCTTGCGTTTCAGTATAATTTTTCCCAAACATTTAGAAAAACACACGAAGACTACTAATTGGCCTGTAGTTGTCAAAGTCATTTTTGTTTTTTTAAGGACAATTGTTATGCCATTTGCATAGTCGGAGGAAATGTTGTGGTTTGCAGGCATAAATTAAAGATACGTGTAAGTGGTGAACATATTAATTCCATAAAATATTTCACTGGATAAATCTGTACGTTGTTTAAATCACATACTTGATAGCTCACGGAAAATGTATCTGTGAGTTCTCTTTCCCCTGCTGGCGCTAGAAAACGTCGATGAACATCTGGCAATATGGGTAGATTGATAAGGGTAGAAGGACGATAGGGGTAGAATGATATAGATTGATCCCTAGCGAAGTACAAGCAGACTGTTTCGGCTAACTTTTCACCCGTGTAAAGCTCTTCTTTATGAATGATCTGGTCAAAAAGTTTATCATCAGAAAACTTAGTCGAGAGACCATATTTTTTTTCATAGTTTATCAGGATAGCTAAATGAATTTTGAATTGATTTTCATTATTACGCCTTGTCGGATTTCGGATATCTGGTTCTATAGCATCTAAGCCCTTGGAATAGGTGTTTTTCTAGCTTAAAGTGCCCATTGTAAACATACCAAAATTTACCGAGAAATTTCTCTTAAGCCTCTCCTGCATCAGTTTCAATGAACAGATCATTCCATGACATGCTAGACATTTCGCTATAGAAATTTTCAAGAACATAAGGTGTGCTGTATGAACCATTGAGGCACGTAAATGTTTGGGTGTAGGCTTATTCTTCCAGAAAAACAAATAAATGCCCTCGTGGTCACTCAAGTCACCACTGATTAATCCCGAATATATGGCAGAATTCTTAACGATAGTATAACCATTTCACAAACGCTGGGCTCTGCTGCCGAGATTACAACTTGGTATGCTTGGATCCCCGGCAATGGCTGCTGCATTTTGGGAGGCGAAAATACTTGAGTCCTGTGTTTTAGGTACACGTTTAAGGACCCCAGGTAGTCGAAGATCAGGAGCTTCCACTACGGCATCTCTGATGATCATATGGTGGTCTCAAGACGTCAAACCCCATCAATTATTTTGAATAGTATGTCGGCATGCATCGTTAACATATCGGCAACAGAACTGCCACAAAGCTACGCGTCGCTGGCGTCAATCAAACCATTTCAGGACCCGCTGCGGAGCGTTTGAGTTAAGCTCTCTGACGACGATGCATCTGCATAATAAAATAAAACCAGCAAGGTCAACTGATACACATGGCTAATGCGACAAAACCAGCATTTCTATCTCTGATAGAAATGCTGGTTTCTATCTCTGATAGAAATACTTTGATCTGGAGATGCGTCGGCGGAACAAAAACTTGGAAATTCGTGGGAGACTTCCCAAGAGCCGCAGAATCTTTTCCAAAAGATGAGCGAGGTAGCAAGGTTGATCGAAGTTCCAGAGGTCAGCTATTCTGACCTTGAAGCTTATCAGCGCCTTCCAGCTAAGAGCCTGGCCATTACAATCTCCAACGTCAAAAGCTGAGGAAGATGTGACTGCACGGAAAAGGTGATTACTAAGGAAAAAGAACGCAAACATGCACAGTCGTGCTGAATATGAGTTGCAACGCGCCGGCTGTCGTTAAAGTGTCTTCAATACTGAACAATGACACCGACAAACGTTAAAATGGTTGAGAAAGTACTCCTAATTGAGATAGTTTAATTTACCATTCAATGTAGGTGTCACATTGCTGCGTTGGCGTCATATTGAGTACAAACAGCGTGTTGCAACTGATACGGTGCGTGACTGTACGTAGGGCAAGGACGGTTTTGTAGACTGTCAGGCAATGGGCTCGCGATTACGGTTTCCGTTACGCGTGGCGTGCCAACGGGAGCATCTTCATCCGCAGCAAAGATGACCGCCACCTCAAATTTCGACGTGGTGAATGACGCGAGTCAGGCGGCCAATTTTACTGTGGCTCAGACACGTGAGCACATGTAAGACTGTGAAGGTCAAGTCATAATGGCTAACAATAGATACGTGTTGCCGTGCAACATTCGCCGTATCATGAATGCCTGGCGATTGGTGGACTCATGAATGAGATGTTGTCATTTGAATGTATGATCACTGAACAATCACACTGATGATCTGCAAATTTCTTACAAGTTTGACTTGTATTTTGATTTTGTTATTATATCTAAATACGGGTTTAGCAGTAGCTTTTAGCCTTCATTATCGATAGTTGCCCTCAGCCGTGATGTGGATTGTAGCGGAGGAGTATTTTAGTCATTAAGAAAATTGAGCGTGAATCTCTCCCGGAAATTTGTTGCATATCTACTGCCATTGAAGTTGTTTCCATACTAGCAAATAATACAGTTTATTGTGGGTTGTATGTACTAAAAAAATAAATCAGCATCTCCAATAGGTGGGCGGTACAACCCACAATAAACTGTATTATTTGCTAGTATGGAAACAACTTCAATGGCAGTAGATATGCAACAAATTTCCGGGAGAGATTCACGCTCAATTTTCTTAATGACTAAAATACTCCTCCGCTACAATCCACATCACGGCTGAGGGCAACTATCGATAATGAAGGCTAAAAGCTACTGCTAAACCCGTATTTAGATATAATAACAAAATCAAAATACAAGTCAAACTTGTAAGAAATTTGCAGATCATCAGTGTGATTGTTCAGTGATCATACATTCAATGACAACATCTCATTCATGAGTCCACCAATCGCCAGGCATTCATGATACGGCGAATGTTGCACGGCAACACGTATCTATTGTTAGCCATTATGACTTGACCTTCACAGTCTTACATGTGCTCACGTGTCTGAGCCACAGTAAAATTGGCCGCCTGACTCGCGTCATTCACCACGTCGAAATTTGAGGTGGCGGTCATCTTTGCTGCGGATGAAGATGCTCCCGTTGGCACGCCACGCGTAACGGAAACCGTAATCGCGAGCCCATTGCCTGACAGTCTACAAAACCGTCCTTGCCCTACGTACAGTCACGCACCGTATCAGTTGCAACACGCTGTTTGTACTCAATATGACGCCAACGCAGCAATGTGACACCTACATTGAATGGTAAATTAAACTATCTCAATTAGGAGTACTTTCTCAACCATTTTAACGTTTGTCGGTGTCATTGTTCAGTATTGAAGACACTTTAACGACAGCCGGCGCGTTGCAACTCATATTCAGCACGACTGTGCATGTTTGCGTTCTTTTTCCTTAGTAATCACCTTTTCCGTGCAGTCACATCTTCCTCAGCTTTTGACGTTGGAGATTGTAATGGCCAGGCTCTTAGCTGGAAGGCGCTGATAAGCTTCAAGGTCAGAATAGCTGACCTCTGGAACTTCGATCAACCTTGCTACCTCGCTCATCTTTTGGAAAAGATTCTGCGGCTCTTGGGAAGTCTCCCACGAATTTCCAAGTTTTTGTTCCGCCGACGCATCTCCAGATCAAAGTATTTCTATCAGAGATAGAAACCAGCATTTCTATCAGAGATAGAAATGCTGGTTTTGTCGCATTAGCCATGTGTATCAGTTGACCTTGCTGGTTTTATTTTATTATGCAGATGCATCGTCGTCAGAGAGCTTAACTCAAACGCTCCGCAGCGGGTCCTGAAATGGTTTGATTGACGCCAGCGACGCGTAGCTTTGTGGCAGTTCTGTTGCCGATATGTTAACGATGCATGCCGACATACTATTCAAAATAATTGATGGGGTTTGACGTCTTGAGACCACCATATGATCATCAGAGATGCCGTAGTGGAAGCTCCTGATCTTCGACTACCTGGGGTCCTTAAACGTGTACCTAAAACACAGGACTCAAGTATTTTCGCCTCCCAAAATGCAGCAGCCATTGCCGGGGATCCAAGCATACCAAGTTGTAATCTCGGCAGCAGAGCCCAGCGTTTGGTCGCTGACATCAGTCTATTATATCTGTCATAATTATGCGCGCAAAAAAAAAAATGAGAGAGAAAAGAAAGACTCACTAGTTAGCGCTGTGTCCCGTCAGCTGCTTTCACAGTCTGTGGTTTTGTTGTACTACTGTAAGGATAATGTCGTACCTACTCTCCAACCAGGTTGCCATTTTGAAAGAGGGCGAATGCTTGATCAGCCTTTTCATAAAAAAAAAAATGCCGGTTCTAGCCCGTGATTGCGTATCCGCTGATGTAAACTCCACGTTAGGCAGATTGGAATAAAAAAAAAAAAAAAAACTAGAGGGCGAGTTTGGCGTTATTGATTCGCAGCTCAGCAGTGCTCCCTGCATGCGCTTTGCTCACTTCCAGAACGTGAAAGCATCGCACTCGTATAGGCGGCTTTCGCACCGCGGAGAACCTACCACGTGTCAGGTTGGGGCCCGTTAGCCGAACTTCTCGAAACATGGGTGCGGTCTAAAGATCATTATACACTTATGTGGCTGCTGTGTTGAATGAAAACTTCTCTCTGTCTTTGGTTTGCCTGAGTGCTGCCGACAAGTGACCCCGCTTGCGCTTCCTCTCCACCCTCTTCACCGAGTAAGTACGCCTATGACAAGACACGTAGTGGGCGAAGTGGTCAACATTTATCATAGTTGTCCCTACAGTTGCTGAAAAAAGGGCTAACTTCACCACGCTGAAGGGTTGAGGGCGCGGGGTGAAGTTGTGACATTCACATTCGATCAACCCCAGTCAACAAAAGTACGCGAAACGTTTCTCAAACATCAACAAATTTTGATTTTACCGCTTGAGTGGTTTGAATTTGGCGGGTTTTTATTCACGGTGTAAAAGTAATCACAACGTCACATCAACGCATTGTATAAAAACCAGTGAGTGTTTTATAAATAAACAATAGATTTGGTTTTAACGTTTATGTGTATGACGTGGAATAAAAAAAAAGAAGACAAAAAGACAACTTCCGGTAGAGCATCTTGTGTCGAGAGTCTGGCGCTCACGTCGCGCCATCTAGGGAATGAGAGTGCCATTCATAACATGGCGTTTTGGAGGGTGAAGGTTTCGAACTGTGGACTATTGCTATCTCATTTGCCTCGCCGGAACAGGACAAAATCAAGGAAATACGTCCAGGTAAGCAAGTTGAGCTCGATTCCTTCTCGCCTGCATCTGAAACCGGGGCGGCCGCGAAAGCTGGGCGCTTCCGCGGCCGCTATCGGAGTAGCGTAGCTACGGAGAAAGCCGCTGCAGACGACGTTCGGCGCCCAGCATCGCGGGCGCTGTTTGTTTGTGTTTGTCGCGTATGTGCGTGTGGCCGTCGGCACACGCCGGGTGGTAGCTGTCATTCGTCGTGTGGCGCAAAACGTGCCAGCTTTTGATGCTTCTCGCTGCGCGTCATCAGCCACAACGATCACGGCACCTCCGACCCGTAGAAGCCGCGCGAAACAGCGCGGACTCTGCCGGCTAAGGGCGCGGTTGGCTCGTCCGAGTGGTGCGCTGTTTGAAAAATCTGCGGAGGCCGGCGTCACCCGAAGACGAAAATAAATACCGAGCGCATCGTCGTCATCCTCGCAGACTCCGCGCTCGTTTTCTGTGACGAGTTTACTGGCCTGCTCGGCACAGTGTTTACGTTTGCGGAGGAGGAATGCGACGTTTCGAGCGGTTTTGTAACAGCCGCGGGAGAGGCGGTTGCAGTCGTGCGTCGTGATCTGGAAAGCCGCGCACGTTGCTTTCGTGCTGAAAGGGGGAGGTTCATCGTTCACAGTGCTTCTCTCCCCGCAATGTGTTTTTTCCTGAGTCGCGCTGCTATGCAGGCCGCGTTATTTTAGCGCTGTCGCAATGGAAACGGTTCTGCAACTCCGTCGATCCGTTCATCTCCGGTTCTCACTCGCATCATGTGTAACGACCGGATGTCATTCGGTGCGTGTGCAAGCGCATAATTTTGCTATTTGCGCACCATGTATGTTTTTGCTTAGCGTACGCGAATGGAGCGCACGTAACGTGCATCGCAATGTGTTTGACAGGATGAGTCGAGTTCAATCTTTGCGCCGGCCGCTGTCGGTAATTCGCGCGTCGGATCGCGAGCCGCTCTCGGCGTTTGTCAGAGCGGCAAAGAAGTGACAGGCTTGTCCATTTTGGCCCTGTCAAACACAGGCAAAAAACGTTGACAGTGTGGTCAGAACCTTAATAGAACGTTCTCGTTCAAGGCTGTTGTCTCGACGTTCTGACATTGAAATAAAAGTCCATCGTACTACGGTCGGTGTCGTGCGCAGCTTCACGGAGACATGCCATACGCGCTGCTTTGCGTAACGACACTGACATTTGTAGAATACCGTTTGCGAGCGTAGTGGGTGCCATAGAATAGCGTTTGCCCTGCTGCAAACCGCAACGCACGATCTCAGTGACACCGTATAGCATCGAAACCAGCGTTTGGGGGCCGTGATCGCCGCACGCTATTTCGGATTTTGTGTGCGCGGGCGGCGAACGCAGGCTCGCGTTACGACGCATGCGCAGTGCCAGCGACCGCAGCGCAAGAGCTTGCGGTGCGCTATTCTAAAACTTCCTAATAAATTAAAACACTCGCTGTAGTATACGTTTCAAGCACATTGCAATGTTTGCAAGATCGTTTCTTATTGCACCTGCTTTGCGGCTTCGTCAAAGTTCATGTTATTCGCGATTCGTCGGTCGTTTTCTGCGTCGTCTTTCTTGTGCAAATCTGATATTGAGTTGAAAAGAAAATTAAGTGACTGATTTCTTCGGTTAAGCAGCTATAAGTCACGATGATCCATTTATTCAGTCAGCCTGTACATGGTCACATGTGCAATACCTTGCCCTATTTAAAGTAATGAACTCGGTACTTGTGCATATTAGTTAGGAGTGGGGCCTGCTGGCGGGTTGTGTAAGTAGAAAGGCAGCGGGGACGTACGGAAGGAAAGTATTTGTGAAAAACTGAGAAGTGCAAGAGACCAAAGCAAAAGACACATATATACAGTACACATTTGTGTGTCCCTTTCTTCTCATAGGGTCCTGCGTGCTCTGAATTTTGCCTAATATGCGGTACCTCCATCTATCCATAATGTATGTTTGAGTAGCAAAAATGTGATCCATAAGTTTGAGTGGATGCACCTTAAAGCCAGGTTTAATGTGATATTCATAATAAAAGCTTTCATTCTCTGAAATAATAATAAGCCATACACGGATAGACGTATATGTCCACATTAGGCGGTGTGGATCGCGTGTGTTGATATGGGACAGCTCGTTAAATACTATATGTCTACCGGGTGCCTCTTCGCACTCACAACAACACCGTTGACAGCCTCCTCAGTGCGTTTGCATGTAACAAGAAGCTCCGTTTAACAAATTATTTCGCCGGCCTGACAATGCCGTCGGCGTTTGCGGTGCGAATAGCGCATTAGTCAGATTTCTGCCGTTTACTACGCACGCCTTCGGCCGCTGCAGAAAGCGTATATGTCCAATATCCGACCATGGTCGGCAGTGTTCTCGCGACAAGGTGCGCTTTGTAACTGTTTATGACGGCGTACGAACACACAGAAGTGAATGTGTCTCCCGTTGGAAAGTTCAAACGAGAGGTTTAATACTGTTCGGTTCACCGGTTGAACAGGTCGTTAGTGTAACTCGCATTCGCGCGAATGTCGGCCGCGATGCCCTGACGACGCCTCGGAACAATGACCTCGTCTCTGAACAAAAACATTGCGAGGCAGCTTTCCTGCATTGCGCCGGTATAGCGCTACGAGTCGGCTCGCCCCCACCAATGGGCCCGTTTCCATCGCCGTGGCCGAGAGCTGCGTTAAGAGGCGCGCGGCGTCATTCTGGCCTGGAACGCAGCTGCCTCCTACGCCGCCCTACCGAGCCGCTCGCGACTTGAGGAATGACGAAGACGCCTCTTGCGCGCGGCTTTCCCCGCGTGCGGAAATAGATTCCCTAGGCGGCGTCACCTCCCATGACGCGCGCTCTTTCCGTGGTGCAGTCTTCGCCGGGTTTAGTGTGTCTGTAACCGCGCGATACAGCGGTAGTCAAGACAAACTGCGGGCCACGTCGACACTTGGGAAGGGGGTATTGGGAAGCGCCCGTGAATTACAGGTCATAACCAACCAGCACTGGTATTGAAAACGTTCCATGCAGCGAGCCCAGTGCGACTTCAAGAGGGTGCGCAACGTTTATCGGCATACATACACGGCAATAGTGGAGACGGGGACTCTCGTTCTTAACCCGCTCCCAATGGATAGCGCGTTGTGCTCCTGTGAGGTATAGACGTAAATAATTCAGGGGACACCGCGTGCAAGGGCGCCCCCTCCATATTACAAACATCATATTAGGACTGTTTCACAGTGAACTGTAACGCACTTACGATGTCTGTAAAACTGACTGTGCAACCTGAAGGCCTTCGAAAGAGCAGAGTGAAAGCTGCTTTCTGAAATGCTACGGGTTCACGTGATGCGAAGGATTTATTATGCTGCATGCGCTAAAATTGTAAGGTAAATAATCCCCGATCGTCTACCTTTGTGTCGACTATTTGGCGGAAGCCATTTACAGTGAAGCATGAACCCGATTGCCCGATTGCGATCTTGTTATCTTCAACAGATGCCGCTCGGTTTCCAAGCGCAGTTTTAACTTGCTTCAGAAATAAAAGCTGTGCTTATAAAAACAAAATGACCGCCATGCCAACATGTGTTCGTCCTCTTGATTTTTATTGGTAGACGCCAGTGGTTACAGCATAGAACAAAATACATCTTTGTTCACACTGTGCCCTTGGTCTTCAGTCAGCACGTCCAATTCGGGCAAAAAATGAGTTAGCGCACATGTTTGTCTTGGCAGTGCACTCTAGGATTTTGCAATCATAATCAATACACTTTTGAGTTGTAAGAGGTTCCTTTAGTTAGGTTGAATCTTTATTTCAAGTTGTATTGTTGGTAGTTGAATATAATAAATTTATCTCGGTTTATAGTGACTGTACGAGGAGATTCCCGTCCAAGTACGGCCTTCATTGCAGCGCAGCTCTCCCTTCTTCCGCACTACCGAGATGAACTTGCCAGCTCGGATTTGTATTTGCTGTATAGCGTCACTGAAGGTCCCATAGGACGTAGTCGCGCTCCGAAATGGGTCGAATATACAGGCAATATATGTGACAAGTTCCAAACTCGCGTGCGAACATCACAGATTGCTTTGAATGGCCTAGCTTATTCATAATGGCATTGTTCAAATGTTAATTGCCCATAACAGAGCTTCTGTTCTTTTCGGCTACAATTAAAGTCCTCGATTAGTAATTTAAACAGAGTGGCTATTGCTAGCTCTGGCCGCGTGGAACTATAGTGTGACGCGTGATCCTGTGCCGCTGCCCCGCTTTCAACGCGCATTTGGCCCGTGCATATTGTTTCAAGTTGAAGGGGTCGGGCTCATTTGCACACACAATGGTGCCTTATCTAGCTCGTTCACTTTGCTCAAACTTCGCATCACTCGACGAGGGACAAGAAAGAGGGTTGCGCGGTGCGTACATTCAACTCGACCCTACCGTTTGAAACAGCAACATCAAGCTTATGTGCGTGATAGTGACAGGTGAGACCGGGTAAAATATAAGAACGCTTGTTGGCGGCAACGATTGTTTGTGAATGTCAAGTGAGGCTATTCATCACACAGTGCCGGAAAAGGGTTGAGTGACGCAATACTTATCACTCTTTGCGATACGAGAGCCTTGTACCGTCACGCGTGTTGTATCATTCCGATCTGTAAATAAAACCGAGTCAGCAGCAAAGCTTGCGCAGCATCTGCATTCGCGGCCGTGCTATATCCTGTTGCCGCGACCTGTTGATGCACGGTCATCCTTGACTCACTCGTTACTGGATGATTCGAACTTCGCGTAGATGTACCTGCTATGGCCGTTTCGCTGAACAGTTCAGCTCGTGAAGCAAATCCGTACACATTTAGACTTTACACAGGCGTGAGTGTGTAACCTCCGAGAGTATAATTGTTTGCGAAGGGCGGTGTCGTGATCAAATGTAACCTTTTCCCGTTCGTTTAACCTGTTTCGGGTGCGCCACACGGCATAGGTATATCGTATACAGCATGAACTGAATGAAGTGTCGTGGGTTTTTCTCGCTTTTGAACGTTTGCCAGTA